CATCATGTAGGGCGCGTGCGCGGCCAGGTGCGGATGCAGGTGGTGGTGCGCGTGCGCCACAGCGCTGTCCAGCTGCAGCTGCGCCTGAACCTGAAAGGACAAGGGCGTCACGTTGCAATGACTATCCTAGGGTGACAACAGAATAGAAACAGAGCATTAACAGCGTCCACCTTGGCCAGAGAGAGAGTTGGGTTGTGTTTGGGCACGGGGAGAGGGCATTTGGCTGCGCATCTTGTTCCGACAGTGACCTTCTCAGCCTGTTGCTGAATCTGGGGTTCCACATGGATACTCCACTGCCCCCTGGGTCTCCGAAACTCAGTTGGGGTAGGTTTATTTCCCTGCACCCCGGGAACCCCCGTCTGCAGGAATGTGGCCGTCTCCCTTGGGAACTGGGCTGAAATGGTATATTGGAAAGACTGTGGGTGAGGATCCTTACCCTCTTCTCCTGATGCTGCCATGCATCTCTTACCCCACTACCAAAACAACGGAGTACCAACAAGCAAACTACGCAACTTTTTTATGTTATTCAGGGAAGTTATTCCATCTTCCCCACAATAGGCACAATTGTGAGTCGGTACTTCTAACCTTTACTGCCATAAGAATTACCCAGGGATCTCGTTAAAATTCAGATTCTGATTCAGAAGGTCTAGGTTGGGGCCTGAGATTCTGAATTTCTAACAATCTCCCAGACAGTTTTGTTGCTGCTGGCCCAAAGATTACCTTTTGAGCAGTAAAGGTCTCCTTTTAAAGTCACCCCTCTCTCTTTCTTCAGTCATTCTCCCTTGTTTCCAAAGCCCAGCATTAGGATGCCAGAGTCCTGTGGCACCAAGAGAGCTAAGATCTCCCTGACACTGAGTCTCAATTCATGGGCACACCTATGTGTCTCTCTGTCCAAGTCACTGGAGACTGAGAGCTAATTCATGACATCATAGCCATGCCAAGCAGGGGTCCTGGCTGAGGATGGGGAAGGTCAGATACTGGTTGGGAAAGGATATCGCCCTCAGGCTTGGAAAGCGGGGAGTTCAGAGCACTGGGATTTCCCAGGATTAAATCATTGCTGCAGGCTGTCCTTTTAAAATATACTCTTAAAGGTTTCTTTATGGCTTAGGGTTTGCAAAGGCAAGGCAGCCCTGGGAAGACCAAGACTTCTCTCTTTACCAGAGATGAAGCTTTGTTTGCAGAAACAGATTTAAAAACAAAAGAAAGAAAAAATGAAAGTATGAGCTGGGAGTACTCGTGTTTATTTATTTTTCTTCTGTCAGAGTTATTTAATGTGACTAAGAGGTAGAAAATACCTACAAAAGTATCTAGAGGGTTGCCTTAGAAATACCTTAAGACTAATCTCTGTATTGGATTTGACAAAATCTTAATCAAAAGACTTTTCCTTCCTCTCTCTCTAAGGGCGACCTTTAGTGTATTTTTAAAGGGCCAGTTACTGCCCCCAGGCCTCTTCAGGGGTTCCCATGAGGACAGAAGGGAGTAGGTATTCAGGCCCTTAATGCTGTATAGGTTTTTAAAGGGTAGTGGGTCCACTATATCATCTCAAAATAGATTATCCAACTGTGCAGACATTGACATCTGGGATTAGAGATAGGTGATGTTCAACAGTTCAAGCAAACAGTCAGGTATTTTTATATTTAAAAACAGCTTGAAATTATACTGCACTTGCCTGCTGAAATGGCATCCTTAAAGCACCTACGTTGACATAGGGTGCGACTCTACAAGCTTCAAACTGGCTGGCGGCCCCTATGAGAACACCTGTAAAAAGTACAAAAGAAAAATAATGTGAGATTAACATTTGTAGCATTTTTCAGGGTTCCAAATGGTACAAGATAGAACTAATTACTTTGAAATTGGACTATTATCTTTCTAAACTGTATCCAAAATTTAAATAAATATAACTTACTCCCAAACTTTAGGACTCCATTAACAGCCTTTGAGGATTATTAAGTCAAGAACTATTGTCATTTTTGAGGTTTCTTTTTTCTGTCATTGTAATAGTAATATTCACTACTTCTCTCTTTGCTCAGACTTTCAAATGTTCCTTGTATAAGAAGCATACCTTTATGGAGTTGATTTTCTTGTTTTCTACATTTAGCTCTTCGATTCTGAAACCAAACCTATAGGTTGGAGGGAGAAAAAATAAGTAAAACCTAGATATTATGACTAAAAATTTTTTTTAATTACAAGAATGCAAAGAGAAAAGAGTAGTGGTTTAGATAAGAACTGGGAGATATAGCAAGCAATCTTTGAATTGTATAAAACAGCCTCAATTTCCAAAGTTAAACATGTAAATTAACTACAGAAATAGAAAGATAGATTTTATAGACTTTTGCAAGATACATTACTATTAGTCCTGATTTCATCTTTTCACATAACAGAGTC